TTATTCAACTCAAACTTAAAAGATGAAACTTTAAGGCTCCTCCACATCTTATTTATTTTCCTCATTGCTCTTTTCTGTGTTAACAGACTAGTTAAAATGATAACAAAAATTTGGCATGGTGCTCTAGATAGATTAAACTAGTGTGGTACACAGTTAGCATTTCCTTCCAAAGACAATCCACAGCTTAAAAGTACATAAGCTATATTTTATAATCTGGTAAAGTCCACTTTTAAATATTACTATGTTAAATTTTTAAAAATCAGAAATTATGCCACAGGTTTCCGGCTTTATAATCGCAAATAGATAAGTATATGACTAGTTTAGGAAAATAGAAAAAGTGAACGTTAATTAAGGCATTTTTCATTCACCAATACTTAGACTTTGATATCTGCGTGCATAGAAAAGTCTGGGGAAAAGAGACCTCATGTGAAATGCCTGTGAGGGATGGCAAGATACTCATTTGAAAAGTAAAATTATTATAAAATCTACAAAATGAAAAGGCATAAAGGTGTTTGAACAGGCATTATTATATATTTCTGCATGCAGGGCGGCATTTGTCTTGTTCTTAATTATTGCTTTATGCTCATTTGCTCACCTCCATGCAGGCCTCTTCATACTATTTTTGTCCATTTTAATGCCCAGTGAATATTCATTGGTTTGCTTTTGAATGGAGAAAATAGCTTCTATAAGATCAAACAAGATGAAAACAAAGTATGAGCTTAGGAAGTCAAGGAATACTTTGTGAAAAGATAGAGACTTCAAGCTTATTGTAGAAAGAAAGGAAGAAAGAAAGAAAGAAAGAAAGAAAGAAAAGAAAGGAAGAAAGAAAGAAAAAGAAAAGTGGGAGAGAGCAAGGATCTAGAAGAGACAGGCAGAATATGTTTCCAAGCCTGGCTGTAAGTAGCAACAGTAAGACATCAAGTGCCACATGCAATATAGCATGTGTGGTTAGACACTATGAATGACTGCTTCCCTGGGACTTTGAATAACTGGTTTAATTTGAAATGTTTTTATAGTTTCTATTTAGAACCTTGCCAGTAATTCTAATGCAAAAGCTTCCAGGTACATAGCATTACTTTCTGCTATGATGGGTTCCTTCTCTTCCCTCCTTTCATCTTTATCGTCTGGTTCAAAGGTCACTCTTTTGTAAGGCCTTCTGTTCCTTCTCTGGGGAAAGTTAATTGCTTCTTCTTTTACTCCAACATCATTAACACCTTTGAGAGCTAATTTTACCATCATGGCATAAATACATGTACACTCTTCCTGAATCCCTTTCCCCCATGACAGAGTGAAGACGAATAGCCATTTGTGCAACCTGTGACCTAGCCTAGGATCTAGCACCTCGCAAGTCTTCATTTGTATTTGCCAATACATTTCTTTTGCTTGGGTCTCTGCCTTTGCTGGAGGGCAAATGGAAAAGTAATCAACAGCATTATCTTTATCTGCAGTGTACCATAAAGTTGCATTTCAGGAAGAGATTCTTGTCCAATTTACTGTTTGTTCTGCAAATTCCTGTTGAAGGAGATCCTAATTTTTTTACAGCATTAAAAATGCCTTTTAATTTTTCCTTTTGGCCCTATGACTTTAATACTACCATGTATAACCCCATGTAAAATCATTTCTATGTATATGCAATACTAAATGTATTAACATACTTTACATTTTTTGTACCAAGTCTTTGAGCTTTAGTGTATGTTTTCTACTTCAGTGTATCTTGAGTGGAACATCACCAACTGGTCACCATCACACTGGACAGGGCAGTTCTAAGTTAATCAACATCAATAAATCATCTGCTTATGGTGTGAGCTTCATTTGCATGCATTTGGTCCTTACAGTAGCTGTTCAGCTGGCACTACTGGGCTCCTTTTACATAGGAGTAGCCCAGGAGCCACAATGTTTCAGTTATTTGTCTGAGGACCACCGTTAGGCACAGTGGACCTGCGACTGGTTCACAAGCCTTTGACTTCCAGCTAATGTGTAGAACTAAAATAAGAATCATGAAGAAATGCAGTGTGACTGATTCTGAGACTTTTTATGAGAACATGATGAACAGTAGACACAGGGTGCCGGCTAACGTAAGTCACAGGTAAGGGGGGACGTGTTTGGAGAGGCAGTCACTTTGAAGCACTCCCAGGAGGAAAGGGGCAGGATTTGTTTCCTGGGTGAGACTTTGGTGCCCCCATCCTCAGCATCCATTTATTCCCTGGCAGTCAGTCTGTGTGACAACCATTCCATGCCACATGCATAGAGCAGAGTGACTTTTCTTCCTGCCATTTTGAACTTCCATCTGCTGCACGAAGTTCGGGTAAAAGGATCTGTTGTGGTGACTGGGATGAATTAAGACCAGAGTCTGAAACAACCCTGATGCCATGGCTTTGTTAGAAAGGCCTGTAAAATATTACCCTGGTGTCATGGCTTATACAAATGTGCACAAATGGCAGTTTCCTCCTTTTGCTTCGCACAATGTTAAAAATGAGCAAAATATGTTTCCCATTGCACTTCTCCTGTGCTTGGGGACTAAGTGAACTCATTTTAAGTTTCTATGTCTTCGTAAAAATGTTTTGTTTTTTCCGAAACATGTTTTTGATCAGGAGCATAATTTCACGATTGCGTGTATGTTTTGGAAACAAATATGTCTGTGGAACAAGTGCGTGGAGGGGGAGGGCTTTGGCGCAGCTGACCCATCCCTGGACCAGCGATCCTAGATAGAGTTCTTGCCTCAGCCTGACAAGTAACTCTGTAGATCACCTTAAGAGAAGGAGCCAGCTTGTGCCCTTACTGATCCGCATACCGCTGTTATTGCCTCTTATTTCTGGATTTGAAGAACTGAGAATTACAATTAAACAACTTCAGTGGTTTTCCATATTAAGGATTATACCCAGGGCCTTTGCACTGAGCAACCTTGCCAGCCCCCCTACCCGACCCCACCCATCCTCCACTCCTGTTTTTGAACACAGGATCTCACTAAATTGTCACTAACTTGTCCAGGCTGGGCTTGACCTTGAGTTTGTGACCAGGGCATTCAGAGTGCTGGGATTCCATCACACGTGGCTTACAAATTTAACTTTTAAATTCACACAATGTCAAACCTCAAACTACACAACAGAATATTTTGACACTAATCACAATAACAATTTATATTTATGAAAAACTAAGTCCTTCACAAACTTCTTTCCGTATATCTCACTTGATTTTGAAGATAGGAGTGGTAGATATTATCTTCAGTTTATGAATAAGAAAATCAGTTTGCCCACAATCCCACTTACAAGTGCTAAGCTAAGATTAAATCAAGGTAAGTCTAATTCTATATGCCTTATATTAAAGACTTTTACAATAATTTGGCAAGTTTATAGGACTAGACCTTCATAGTCTCCAGACTTCTGAGTTGCCCCACCCCTACCCTCACTAAGTGTACTATTTTGTTCTAAATGTCATGCATTTATGATGCTTCAGTAACAAAAAGAAAAAAACAAGTTAATGAAAACTTTGCCTTAATCATGGTCTGTGTTTTCTGGCTTTTAAAATTATTCCTGTTTATTCTCTCTCTCTCTCTCTCTCTCTCTCTCTCTCTCTCTCTCTCTCTCTCTCTCTGTCTTTCTTTCTGTTTTATCAAGAACCCTCCAAACAAAGGGTTGAATTATTTTTTTTTCTTGTACTTTTTAAAATTAAGGTAACATTTATATAACATGAGATAAACTCTCCTAAGAAACAAAGCAAAAACACCGGGAATTACTATCTTCACAGTGTGGTTCAATTCCCAAGTCTATCTAGGTCTAGCCAACATTCCAAACCATGAAGGACTTTCTCTGTTCTAGTACCTGGTGGCCACTGAGCGGCATCTGTCCCTATGGATTTAACTGTCCATGTAAATACAATCAAACCTAGACTCTTTACACCTGGGGTCTTTCACTTAGCATATTTTTTATGTGCATTGACATTGTAACATGTTAATTCATTTTCACCACAATAATAGCCTATTTTGTAAATATATCACAGTTTGCTTTTTTCATCTGTTGATAGTCATTTGAGCTGCCCTGACCCCTTGCCTATTGTAAATAGTACTAACTGGAAATACTCGTTAACAAATACTTTTCAGAGTACCTGTTTTCAGATGTGGGGACATATATTCAAGGGAGTAAGACTGCTCGATCATAGGAAAATTCTATTCTTAACTATTTGGGAAACAACCAAACTTTGGTGCAGCAGCCAAACCATCTTACCTTCTCACCTTCTCACCTTCTCACCAGCAAGATGAGTGTTCCAGGGCCTCCACACACTCACTAACGTCTTGTGTTTGGGGTTTTTGGTTTGTTTGTTATACCCTTACTAGTGTGTACCCAGTAATACAGTGTTGTGGCTTTTATTTAGATTGCCCCCATGACTGATTCTGAGGACCTGTTCTTGTACATCTAGGCCATTTGTGTCTCTTCTTTGGAGCTGTGTCTGCTCAAATCCTTTGACCATATTTTATTGGTTTCTTTCTCTGTATGTTATTCACGTGCTGTATTCTAGATATGAGGTTTATCAGGGATAATGATTAGCAAATATTTTCTGACACTCTGTAAGTTGTCTTTCATTTTCTACATAATGTCTTTTGACATACAACTGTTTTTACTTTGGATGAATTATAAAAATATAACTTTATGTTTTGTTGATGTATCTTTCTTATTATTTTCACTATTGTTTCATATCTATGAATCTGTTGACAAATGCAAGATCATGAAGATATTATCCTTGTATTTTCTTCTAAGAAGTTTATGGTTTTAGCTCTTATATTTGGAACCCTGTTTTATTGGGGGCCAATTTTTTTTAATTTTTTTTTTATTTTTTTATTTTTTTTGCTTTTTCGTTTTTATTGGTACCAGGGATCGAACTCACGACTGCCTGCTTTCAAGGCAGGCACTTATGCCGCTGAGCTAAATCCCCAGCCCCTAATTTTTTAATCTGTATGAAATAGGGGTTCCATTTACTTTCATTTACTCCTTTTGTTTACTTTCTAGGAACACTCAACAGCAAAGGACTACATATTTTTAATATGACTTCTCTAACCAAGTCTGAAAACATTTTGTCTGCTTCACTGTATTTCAATATTGAAGAGCTAGTAAATGTCAGCCTGAGTTGTCCACTGTCCCAAGGATGCGCTCCTCATGAGCAGCGGAAACACATTCGTATTGATCTCTCTGCATGGATCCTCAGTTCCAACCCAAACCAAAGTCATCTCCTGGGTCGTCTGTCAGTTGATGCAGCTGGACCTCATCAGGATGTAGGATCCTGGCTCTCTAAAGACATCACTCAGCTTTTGAGGAAAGCCAAGGAAAATGATGCATTCCTCATAGGATTCAACATAACATCCAAAGCATGCCAGGTATCAAAGAGGATGTTACCTTTTCAGGAGCCTTATATCTTGGTGTATGCCAATGATGCTGCCATCTCTGAGCCAGAAAGTGTGGTATCAAGCTTCCAGGGACACCGGAATTTCCCTAACAGAGCTGTGCCCAAACTGGACAGCCACATCAGAGCTGCCCTGACCATGGAACGGAGGAAGAAGCGCTCTACAGGGATTTTGTTGCCTCTGCAAAACAACGAGCTCCCTGGTGCAGAGTATCAGTATAAAGAGGATGGGGTATGGGATGAAAGAAAGCCTTATAAGACTCTTCAGACACAGCCCACTGAAAAAAGCAGGAACAAAAAGAAACAGAGGAAAGGACCTCACCAGAAGAGCCAGACTCTCCAGTTTGATGAGCAAACCCTAAAGAAGGCAAGAAGAAAGCAGTGGATTGAACCTCGGAATTGTGCCAGGAGATACCTTAAAGTGGATTTTGCAGACATTGGCTGGAGTGAATGGATTATCTCCCCCAAGTCTTTTGATGCATATTATTGCTCCGGAGCATGCCAGTTTCCCATGCCAAAGGTAGCCACTGTTTTTTGCCCTTTACTTACTATTTCTACAGAATACAAAGAGGCTAAAGCGAATCAGAGAGACAGAGAGAGAGAGAGAGAGAGAGAGAGAGAGAGAGAGACAGACAGACAGACAGACAGACAGGCAGACACAGAGAGAGAGAGAATGAGAGAATGCATGTTTTCATTCACAAAATCCATCTGGGCCCTGATGTGCTACATTAAAGTATAATAGGTAATATGGTTATGTTTGATTTTTCTCTCATGGTTATTAAAGTATTATAAGGTCAGTATTGGTATAAACAATTTGAAAAAAGGATGTGTAAAATATACATTTTCTTTGCTTCCAAACATGGTGTGCACTGAGTGATGTGGGAATATGTGAATCTCTACCTGTCCACATTAAGCAAATCCCAAGTGACAGAAGGCTGATCTTGAGGAGTATTCATGAAATGAGTGAATGGTGTGGATGTAGGGAAGTACTAATTGGGTTGATGGTCTTCCACAGGACATTTTTTTAATAGGTAGTTTCTTGTGAGATGAGTTGTCCCCATAGAGCTGAGGATCAGGGTTTGGTTAGGTAAATCTGCTTCATGAAATCCATCAGATGCTTATTTCATTTGCTTCCCTCCTAAATATCAAAAAAGAAAGCAAAATGGATTATGATGATTCTGTCGACTTCTTCCAAGGCCCATTGTAGCCTATCAAAAGTTACTTATTTCTTCCAAGACCAATGAAGACTGTATTTTATATTATCAGTGTTCTGTGTCCTGACAAAGATATTTTCAGAAGTCTTTCCAGCTCTCACTTCCATCTTGCACAGCAAATCCAAGTGACAGTTTTCTTTGAACTTAGAGCATAATCTAGAGTAAAATGTAGGGGGTATTCTCCAGCCTTCAGTTATGCTTATGGCTGTATTTCTGTTCTCCACTTGAAACAGTTGGAATCTCAGTCATACAATGAAAAATGACTAAAGGAACTGAATTCGGAGAAAGACTATACCTTTTCTTTGCAAAACTTGAGTTAATTTTGTTACTGTATTATAGTGGGGAAAAAAAGATCCTTTGCCTTAGATGTGACCATTTTCTGCTTAGAGGCCTTTATAGAAGCATTTTTATGTGCTGGTCCTATCTATGATGATTTGTTGGACTGCATGAGAGTCAGCCTTGGGGCCACAAACTTCACTGAAATCCCCTTTTTTCACTGGAATGATTCTGAAAATGCAGGCTTTACATTTTTCTAAGACCTTGTTGTTTCCAAGGATTTCTGATGATTTCATGCCTTGTAAACACAAAGTGATATATGTACAATCATATAAAGTCTGTTCTCATCTGAAGATTCATAAATGACATTTCATTGATCAAACAAGATTCATTCAAATGGGATGACATCTAAAAATGTACACACAAGAGAAATGGCAAATGTAACAGGTAGAGATGGATCTTTATTTTATAGCATGGCTTGCCTCGTGACATTCAGAACCAAGAATGAAATTTTAAAATCTATTTTTTACTCCAAGATTTCAGGTAGAATTTGGGTTGTTCAGAAGCCTCCGTCAGCTCTTCTGGGTACCCCGGGAAGAAGTTTTTCTCTTCCCTTCTGATTCTTTCAGGCTCCACAGAGCCTTACTAACATGGAGAATGTCTGTTGTTTCACTGCTTATCTCCCAACTTAAGAGAACTGGCTCATTTTTAACCCCTCCCCCATTGGCACCCTTGTCTTCTCTTGGTTTTGCCTGGTCTTACTTTTCACAAACAAGATATCATTTCAGAATGACCTTGCTATATTTCTCAGTGATGAGGATGATCATTTATAGCTCCATGGCATAAGGGCCACGTGGCAAGTGCAAGCTCCTGAAGTCAATTCCGGGTCCCTAATTAATTAATATTAATTTAGCCCAGTGCCATAGCTCACACTTATAATTCTAGCACTCTGTGAGTGCTGAGGAAAAAAGATTGTAGGTTTGAACCCACCCTGACCAACTTAGTAATTAGCAAGTCCTTGTCCCAAAACTAAAAATCAAAACAAAAAAAAATTAAAAGGTCTTATGACACAACTCACTTTGAGGGTCCTGGATTTAATCCCTATACTACAATCAATCAATTAATTGATCAGTCAGGCAATCAAAGAAAACAATGACGGCTAAATTAAAACTAGCAGTTAAATTTAAGGAAAGAACTATGTTGTTGCTACAGAATAATTAAGTAGACATACTTCATCACAGCAGGCTTAAGCCTTAATTCACCTACAAACTGGGGTGTTGTTAATATGTACATTCTGATTCAGTGGATATGGGAGCAGAACCTAGGGTTCTGCATATCTAACAAGTGATATGGGTGTTGTGGGTTCACAAATCACACTGAGAGTCAAAGTCTTTTAGTCTAACTTTTGATTCTATCCTTACCAGCTATGATTCCTTGGATAGGTTTCCTTTTCCTGAGATGGGTAAAATAGTAAACAGTAAAAATAAAAGTACTTACCTAATAAAAAGAATGACAAATTGAGATAGTAGAACACCTTGCAGTAAGTACATATTCAAAAAATATTTACTATTGATTATTACTCATGGCCATGTAGAGACTGAGGAAAATAGAATTTAAATGTAGGGGGCTGAAGAAATACTATGAGGTATAAGGGGACAAAAAAAAAGTGACAAGACCAAAACAGTTTTTTCAGTGTTTCTGTAAATACCATTTTCCAGCATCACAAAGCTGAGAGTAGAACTCTCCCTGTGGGTTCAGCAGCCTGTGAGCAACTCCAGTGTGGTCCCTTTGGAAAGTGGTGGGCTCCACAGTGCATCCACTGCAGCAGCTGGACTCAGGATGATAGCTGTCCAAACTTGGAACGGCACCAGAGCTCTGGGAAGGCACAACACGCATGCATGTGGAGCTTTGTCTTGGGGCCTGAAATTTCCTTTTGCCAAGTTGAGAGTGGAAGTTTGGCCATTACAGAGTCCCCACTCTCTCATCACCTTATGTGGGTCTGCTCAAATTTTAAAGCTTTCTAAGCCTTGTGTCTTTCAAGCGGTCCCAGAACCAGAAGGATAGGAATCATAAGGAAAAAGGAAAGCCCAATTACAGAGCATCTCGGCTTTCAGCACAGTCTCCGACATGGCAGGAGAGAGAACTATAGAAATAAAATTCTAGTCCGACCATCAGGCAAGTGAATGTCTCTGATCAGAGCAGGAGGACACATGCAATAACTGAAACGCCAAAGCACTTTCCTACTTTAGATATACATTTCACCCCAGAGAACAACTCTCCCGGGCCAGACTCCTCTGCTGGCCCTCCTCTTTTTTGGCCTCCTGACTGCCAGAAAGCTTGCTCTATATGGTGGGGCTGTTCGTCTGCAAAAGTCGACAACCTGCTCTGTAATGCAGAACAGCTGTGCTCTCCCTTTCCCAAATTCCAGGCTTTGCCCTTTCACTGATTCCAATTAGATAGTTTCTGGGCCATCACACCCATGTGGGCTGGACTGGAGAGTGTGGAGCAAAACCTCCTGGCTGGGGTCAGGAATGAAGGCGCTTGGCTGATGACATCCTCTCCCCTGCTAATGCATTTGTAATCAAATTCAACGCGAGGACATCGCACACAGCTTGGCAGGTGCAGGCCTAACCACTGCAGATTTCATTCACAGACACGGCAGTTTGAATTTGTCTGATTTTTAGGCTTCACAGCCAATCTATTGTCCCAGAGAGAGACTCTTGGAATTTTGCTGTGAGATGAAAATTACCCATAAAACTAAAGCCAAGTTCTATGCCTTTGCCTTCCTTACCACCTTAGCAGAGATGGAAAATAGACATTTCAAATGAAAACAATTGAGCCACTGTTGCTGAAAGAAAACCAAGGAACCAACAAGGATTAAAGGCATGAAGTTACTTTTGCTCGAAATTGTGCAAAAGCTAGGAATTGCAAAGATACTAGAATAAGGCAGTAAATAACTGAGCCAAGCATCCCATATAAAGAAATGCATATTTAAAGAGTTCAAAATGGTACATACTGAATGAATTTCCTGAATTTTCCAGTTCTAGTCTTTGAACATGAAGGCGAACACTAAAAACATTACATCTTGATGTACTCAGTTACTTAAGCAAAAGTTACCTGGGTATATTTTACCATCTTTAAAAAGAGAGATTGGCAAGGGAAAGATTATTGTTATATTTCTTAAGCTTAGTAAAGAAAATCATAGGAAACATGATCTGAGTTCAAAAACAAATAAAAATCATGCACTGGCAATATGCTTCACACCAGCAAATTACAGCATGGGTCATCTATGCACGACATAATTATTTCTGGTAACGCAGCTTGACCAGAGGATTTCATACTGAGGAAAAAGGGGCACTCCCTAGCAATCTGAGAGGTTCCTGATAAGAAACACCAACCCCAAATCTAGGGCTCACACCCGCACTCTGATAAACCCACTAGAACTACTGCTGTGCTCAGCTTCTGAGTCCATCATGTCTGAGTTGGAACTAAGGACAGGAATTTTCCTAGGAAACACCCGTGAATATTTTCCGTATCTACGCTGCACTGTTTGAGCAGACATTTTATTCCTATTGATGGAAATTATTTCCATAGAAATAGGTACAAAGGAGGGCAAGCTGCTTCTTAGAAGTATTTCATCTATTCTCAATGTTTCTCTAGAGCCTGCACCGTTCTAGGCACCGAGGAACAGCAAAGTACAGCAGTCTTTATTGCTAAAGGACTCATCTAATTACGCAGACCTACTTTGCATGAAATTAAAATATCAGAGGTCAGCACACATTAACAAAATAGTGTCAGAAAATGCTGGTTTAAGGAACTCTCGGGGTTTCTGACAAGCTGGATAATTGAGTCTTCAGAAAAACTTTGAAGTCAATAAAAAAAAGTGGATGGTGTTTTGGGTTTTGTTTGTTTATGTAGGACATTACCAATACTGATGAAATAACAAGCAGTGGCTGTTGACATGTGTGACACAGTGCAGTTTATGTAAAATACACAAATATTGATGACACAAGGGACACAAAGTAAAGTTGTCTGAATTAAAGCTGATTAACTGAACGTTAACTCTTCTTTTAATATGTAAAGTTTCTAGGAAGAAGTAAAGTCAGTTGCTGGTTACTAAGACTAATTTTCAAAATTATTTACAACTATTCGCAATCAAATTGAAACCTAATGTCTGGATAATTTTTTTCAATGAAATTAAAAAATGAGGTGAGACAAATCAGGTTTTTCCACTCTACCAATAAGAACCTTTTTGGTTTGTTTTCCTCTCCCTTGGCTTGCATGTTCCCTTAACCTTTATTGTACTTTCTAATGCTGCAGTTGGGGAGTTTGAAATTTATGTCCTAAATCTTTGGGGTTTGGATTTAACTCTTATCCTGACTTGATCTCTGGAAACTTACAAAGTTCTGTTTGAAGTCTATTGTTTTGGGGGTTTTTTGTTTTGTTTTGTTTTTGTTGTACAGGATGAGACCCAGGGCCTCATACATGCTAGACCTATGAGTTACACCTATAGCCCCAGATACCTGTGGCTAAATGTGTTTTAAAACAAAAGTAGAGTAGCTTCCCTCAGCGAAGAGAAACTGGGGACAACCGATGTTGAAAAATCCAGTACTTCTGGAGTTCTTCTGACCATAGGGGTAATTCCTAGTATTCTGGACTTGCAAATCCTTTGTTTTTAGGTACAACAGAGAAATGTGGGACTTTCTAAATAGAACCACAACGTTTCATATGGATGTTAACGGTCTCATTTGGAATTCTCGCAGCGAAGGGATTTATCCCAGGTTTCTTTGGTCAAACTTCTGACATCCGTGGGATAACCTTAGACTCCCGCCCCAGTTCCTTCCCAGAGGACACAGCTTACACTTAGAACTCAGTGCTAGCAAGTATTTAAACTTGCGAAGCAACAGTGACCCCCAGTGGTCACTGTTGTGATCTTTCTAACCCAGGTTGGCATTTCTGAATGTTGAATGATTAACATAGTGATCATCCAACTGATCATCTTGGCAAGTGTGAAATAAATAGATAAAGGTCCTTTATCCTGATTAGTTTTATTTTAATAATATAACCACAAATATCTCTATAATCCTGACAGTAATGTATCTTCGTTAAATAGGGCTCTTGTTATAATCAGTATAACGTCGAGAACAAATTATTTTATAGTTGTTGCTATCCTATTATTGAAAACATCTAGAATATGCTGGCCCCATGGTTGGATACTGTGTAACATCAGCTAAAGGAACCGTTCAGATTTTCACTCTATCACAGCCTGTGTGAATTCACATGGGTCTTTTAAGCTTTTTGAGTCTTTGTAAGAAGTGGTGGCTTCGTTTTAGAATTAGAGGAACTATCCATAAAAGGCCTGGGAGAAAGCCAGTGCTTCGTAAATGAGAGTCATTTGTGAAGGGCCCCATGGGAAGTTAGGCTGGGTGTGCAGTTGGGGAGATTCCAGGGTGTTGCTAAATTGTCAGGAGAAGATAGTGATATAAGCATTTTGTGTGATGATAAGGAGAGAGCAGTATGCAAGCACTTTCACCTAACTTATGTGACCTCCTGTTTATTTTTCTAGTCTTTGAAGCCATCCAATCACGCAACCATCCAGAGCATAGTGAGAGCGGTGGGGGTCATCCCCGGGATTCCAGAGCCTTGCTGTGTGCCAGAGAGGATGTCCTCACTCAGCATCTTATTTTTCGATGAAAATAAGAATGTCGTGCTCAAAGTCTACCCAAACATGACAGTGGAGTCCTGCGCCTGCAGATAACCTAGCAAAGAACTCACTTGGAAGCTCAATTCAATCATTAGTTTGTTTTTATGGACCTTTTTTATTTTGCACTGCCAATGCATTGTGTTCCAAAAGATTTTTTAATAGTCAAAAGAGAAAACAAAAATAGCATGATGATTTCCAGCAAGCAGAACTGGACTGTATTAGTTTTTGAATGTAACTAAATGCAAGATTTTCGTAAATATGGACACTTTTTTTTCTTTTTTAATCGTACAAAAAGAACTAGCAAATCGTTTTAGAACTCTTGGAGAACACACTGATTTATTTTTGTAGTAGGCCTTAAAAATCTATTGGAAAAACAGCAATAGCTTATCATTTATCTCTGCTCATCTAGGGACAATGGGAAATAGTAATTTCATATTTTAAGTAGGATTATTGCATTCGATTCCTAAGCAACTCAGCAAGTGCTAAATAACCCAGTTGATTTGATGTTTAATTATCTTCAATGTTCTAAGCCCTGTTCATCCTTGTTACTCTTTTTCCATAAAACACTGTGTAAATTGAGTGAGAATATGTCGAGAGAGAGAGAGAGAGAGAGAGAGAGAGAGAGAGAGAGAGAGCGTGTTTTCACATGTCAGGGCCTGTGCCCCCTGTAGAAATTACTTAACACACTCCTATAACTCCATCTACATAGGGTTCTTTTTTTAAATTTAATGTTCTAGTAAGTATCAATGAATTACCAAAAATGATGGGAACGTCCAAGAGCATACGTGGAGCCACCACTGAACCCAGCCACTTCACAGCAAATACAGTTGTTTTCATTTCACTGCAGCCCAGGAAAGGGAATCCACAGCTCACTTTTTGAAAATCAAGTGTACTTACTTCCTTTCCTGTATATTTTTCACAAATATTTGTATTTGTTCTCTAAATCAAATTCAAAAGTCATCCGTGAAGCCACTAAGTTTTTTCTTCCTGATACGCTTTTATTTCCTAAGAGCTTGAGATGTTGAGACTGAATAACTGATGGAATACATGTGGGAGGCCGTTCTAATCACAGCCATGCATTGAATATCATTCATCATGTAGGTCCAAGTACTTGCCTCCATCCTGAAGTCTACACGTCAGCGAAACTCACTAAAAATTTTCCACGAGGAAAGGGGGTTGAATATAGACACTAACTTGGGTGCTTCTAACTTGGGTGCTTCTCTCCCCGTTTCCATTTGTCATAATTAGTTTCAGAAATCTTTCACTCACTGTATTTACTTGAGAAACAGAAGTGATTCCAGGCTTTGCGTTGTTGCTAATGGTGAATATGTGGTTAGTCCTCATTTTCATTCAATCTAACTTGACTATTAGAAATACCTAAGCCCATTATGAGACCAGAATTAGAAGCAATGGGGCATTGTTCCCTCTCTGCACGTAGCTCTCTGTGGTATGTCAGTCACCTTTTTGGTGAGCATCTATTTTGTGAAAGGCACTGCATTAACTGTGCTCTAAGTGTCCTCCCTGGTGAAATGAAGAGGCTGACCACTTGAGCTGGACAGCCTGTTAGACACGGAAACGTTAGGTTTTATTACAACCTATTTCATACACATCTTCCTTGAAGTTACAAGTGTTAGCTATAAAACTCTGCAAGTCTCTTTGTTCATAAGCCAAATGCAGGTGTGTCCTACACTTTAATGTTGGTGAATGAGTGTGGCATTCTCTGTGGTCTAACTGGTATTTTATTGGAAACCTGCCATGAAAAGAGAGTCTTCGCCACTTTTGAATTACAAAAACATTGGTGTGCGGGTGTGTTAATGCTGAGTGAGACCTACAAGTCTCAAAAGTGAGTTAAGCTCCGGTACCTAAGTTACTTATTTTCCTCCAGTTCATTTTTTATTCTGCTAGTGTAAGGTTAAAGATTCAAACTGAGATGAAGGATGGAATTAATTGTAATACATTTTCTCACAATCTGAGAGGCAAATTTAAAAGACAGAAAAAGGCCAGTGTGGCTACTGTACCATATCCTAGTCATACTCTTTTAACAAAGACTATTTCTTGTTTCTTGGTAGATCTGGATAAATTCTTAATTTAATTTTTCCTCAACATAGGTCTGAGAGTTCTTAGTATCATGTCTCAGCCTTTTGTATGCAAATAAATGTCTATTACTTTTCTTAATATGAATTGGTGACTACTTATTACAGATTAAATCATACAGCGGCAAAAATATCCTCTAAATAATAAAAATTTCCAAATACCAACTAAATCACATTTATTTTTACTAGCACTTGGTATGATAAATTTGCTTGTGCAATGGAAATAGACTTCACCAGTATTTTCTGGGTGATTTTTTAAACCTCTCATGAATTGAGGACATATAGTGGTTTAAATGGAAAAATTTTTGATTCCAATGAATACAGAAAGACTACTTTTCAGTAGTGAAGGTTGAAAGAAATGAAATGACAATTTAATTAATAGACATGTAATTAAAATAGAAAATTAAATCCATGCCTGTTACTCAATTTGTTAGGTAATAGTTTCCATATCATTCATGCATAGTCTTTTTTTAATTTCTTGATACTAAATTAGCAAAAGGTGAGAAGAGATACAACATTTATAAATGCAATTTTCTAAACCATACAAGTCTGTCACTTCCAAACACTCCTCTAGCTATTGCTTAATGTGGAATACACACACACACACACACACACACACACACACACACACACACATACACACATACACACACACCCCACACATTACTTAAGAAGAGATTCTTTCTTCAGTGCCTGTTCTATGCATCTCAAGAAACTGCTAATGTCAATACAGTATTTTAAGAACACTTTGTTATAATCAATGTAAATAATTATAATTTACAAGATTCAAAGTTGTAGAACTTAAACTGGAAAACTGGATTCCTCAGCTCTCAGGACTGCAGTATTCCAGGCTATTTTTTATATTCACTTACCTATCTATTAAAAGATCGTCATTTATTACGATAAGGTTTTATATGCTTGCATTTCTGTCTGAAGCTCTTATTGCCCAGTCAGTACTTTCATGGGCGATCATACCTGAGTAATGCTATCATCAGTCTGACTTACAAAATTCTTTTGTGTAATTACACTATTCAACTTAGGCTTCCTGCTTTTACTTTTTTCTGCTAAAATAAACTGATGTCTGGATGGTGATTTTAATGTCTGAATGGTGATTTCTTGTTGAATTGAAAATAGCTATACATATCTGATGTTTAAGATTAAATAAGCAGTTATAAAAGATATTGGATAAGTCCGATTCTGTATAGTTTTTCTTCTGAGAATTGTACTTTAATGTAGTTTATAATTGATAAAATGGTCCCATTTTTCTAAAAACCAAGACTTCTCTTCAACTTTCCACACTAATTTCTGTAAATGTTTTAGCTGAGAATTTAATGCTTGTACAGTGAATGGCAATGATAAATATATATATATTATATATGTATATGGAAAAACTTTAAAGATGCTTTTAATTTATTTAATAACTGCTGCCTTCCTGTAATAAATTTCATTCTTAGTAATAAAAACACTTTTTTTTACTGTAGTTCCTAGATGCAAAGTGAAACTTGGTTCTGGAGTCAAATCCTTTGAAAGAGTGTATCACAGTGAAACTGTGGTGGACGCCTCACTACTGATGTGTTAAGCTTTGCTGAACTTGTGTCACTTTCCTCCAGTAATGAAGTTTTTCATTATATGGTACGGAAATAAAAATCATGTAATTCAACATTTCTCCATTTCTTCCTATTTATTGGGAAAAATTCTTTTTCTGATATATTTTCAGCTGTGCTGAGTTTGAAGGGATAATCAGCTTGGACCCAAAGCAGAGCCATGAAGGATCATCGTAACCCATTACCTATATAACATGATTTAAATGCTGATATATACCCAGAAGGGGAGATAAGTCTTTCAGACTTGAAAAATGTAACTTGAATTGTTTCATATTTCTTTCTTTGATTTTTGAACCACAGACTCCATGTTTCATACTTGGAGATTTAGGGCTTTCAATTCTTTTTCCATGGAAGTCTGACTCATTTGTTGAACAATAACTTTTTCATCATTCATTACTACCATGTTCTGTCCATTATGAAATAGTAACACAGTTAAATTAATCACTGAGATGTTATTTAGACTGCATGTTTGTCCTTAATGAAAAGACCCAAGGTTAAGAAAGAAATCTGCCTCTTTCAATCTATCCCTGGTGAACTATGGTGTCTAATTTATAAATCATAAGCATTACAAAATCACAAGATCTGCTTAGAGATGTTCTTGAGCAAGTTAATATCTCAATGCCTTGTTGATCATACATACAGCATAATTCAATAAAATTTGTGCTTCATATGGATATTATAGGGTTTGATGACATTGTACGTGTATGTGATTTAACCAAGTACTAAAAACAAGAGAGTTAATATTTAAGAGTAGTTGTATCTCACCAGTCTTCCCATATTCCAAGTCAGAAAATGAAGACATGTTGCAGCACCCACTTGTTCAGAGGGCTGCATGTCTCTGGCAGAAACCAGTCCCCCAACTGGGATGGAACCCTTAACATAAAGGCAGGCCTCTAACTGGAGCTCAGTCAATGTCGGTAAAGCAGGGAGGCAATTAGTAGCAATTTTGTGGTATAGAAAAACCTTTGGTGTCAGTGCCAGTGAGAGGACAAATGACAAAAGCAGACCTCTGAGTCTGTAGAGACAGTAGCTGTTTCCTGATGATGTTCTAGTTTTTGTATCTTTTATGCTTGCTGTCTTTTGATTGCATGAGCTCTTTGAGAAATCCAATTGCTAACTCTTACTCACGCAGATTAGAACCAAGCCCTGTAACTTG